GAGGGGGTGGGTTTCCCCATGCACCGCGACTAATAGTCTATTGTACGTCCCCCTTTAATTTCTACTGTCGCCATACCCTACCGATACTGGTGCCTGCTATCTCCCCTTTCTGCCAGCAAGGTTGGCCCCCTACTGGCAGTGGTACTCGATAATTCTAGCCTTTCTGCCAGCGAGGTTGGCCCTCTACTGGCATTGGTACCTGATAACTTCCCCATCTACCGGAGGCACTGGAAACTACTTGGGCGGGAAACACTTTGCCTAATTTTGCTCAGAGGTCTCCTAGAGACATGAGGATCTTTTACGTGCCGTAAATCCATGACATGGGACCCACGGCTTAAAGTCCCTCCCAGAGGACTTGTTCCCTGAATTTTTCCGCCCTTAAAAATTCCACAACCTCCGCTGGGTTTGANGACAAAAGTAACCTTCATTTAATTTCCTATTAGAGTTAAATATATGGCTTTATTGTTCCATCAGTTTGTTTTTTCCAGTAAGTGTTATTCATGTTCTGAACATCAAACACACACACACTCATATACAACTAAAGAACCTGAGTAGTGTTTACCTGTATGTATGCTCATTCCCTTTGGTTACTTAACAAAAGGTTCTTTCTTGCATTTCAACAGCAAAACAATCTAAACATTCATATTATTTTGAAAACGAATATTACTATTCCAAAAAAAATTGGTATAAAGATATTGCACATACTTTGTCATGTACAACTGACCTTGATATATTATCTTGAAAACAAAACTAACTGTTGCTCCACAGACCACTGCTGCTTACTGAATACTGAACAACAATGAAATACACCCAGAGAAGCAGGTTTTGATAAAAGTAACATTTTGCATTTGGGGCCTCAGTGCATGTACCATTATCTTCTTGAATTTTCCAACTATATATTTTTATTCAAGGAATCTCTATAAATGACTGAAATTTAATCAAAATCACTGGCACTCTTTACAAAAAAAATCACAATCTTGTGTTCTGGGAAAAATCTGAAGGATCCCTACTTTTGGAGTTGAAATGTTCATATTCTTCAAGTAAAGGTAAAAAGGTAAAGCTATCCCTGTAATAGGCCTTAGAGGCTCATAGGGTTGTAAGACGTTGAGGGTCCCACATTATCTAGACAATCAGCTCGCAGATGGTGGTAAGGTTGTCAGTCTTAAGCACCGGCCGCACTTTACACCCCAGGAAAATTCCTGGTACTCATTTCTGTTAAGAGGCTGAGTCAACCCCACGGCCATAGTGCAGCTGGAAGGTTTATGTCAATTGAAATTAATCCAATGACCTCATTGGAACTTGAACCCATGACCTTCCGGCTTGTAGTATAGTGCCTCAACCAACTACAATCTATAATGAATAAATTCTTGAATACCATATATGAATAAAATCAGCTGAACTGTTCAGTGCTAATGAGAAGCACACGCACGCGCGCATACATGCACATAGATGGCACACCAAACACCACTTTATTGTATTCCATGGGGATCAAACCTTGTACATTCATCAAATCTTGATATTAAATTGTTCATCATCATAATACTTTCATAAAAATACTATATATATGAGAAAGTAAAACAGTACACTTTAAACAGCAACATGAAAGTATACTCCTATTGCGTTCAAATGACCGTACTGTCAAAGATTACCTTACTGATTTATGACACTTTCATAACCTTGCATCATCTTAATATTACAAAATATTAGCAGGAATACATCAGAAGTAAAATGGCAAAGACTTTATTTTCTGCATATTGATACTCTAACTTAATGAGTGAAAACAAACTGTGTATTATTAATTAAACAATGTCACTGCATCTTACAAGAGTTATGCCTACTTCTGTGATGAATAATGATGTAACCACTTTATTTATTAGGTTCATCTTAGCCCTCTGACAGCCAAGTCTCTCCACTGAACTACCTGCTAGGGAAATCTAGGCTGCTTGGGGGCAAATGCTGTAACCCACAGTCTTTCCACAGGTTATCTTCAAATGGTCACAGATATAGATACTGTGAAAGCCTGTTCTACTACAAAAATACTCTACTAAGAAATTAACACCTAACCAATCTCTTCAGCTGGAACATTTGTAATGCAAGGCCTCCCTGATCAGTTTGCGGCATGTAAAGCATTAAGCAATATAACGGGTTCATTACTAGTATGTGCATGTGTCAGAACACATGCTTCTGTCATTCTTACAAATGAAAATTCAATACATTTGTGGGAACATCCCACATTATCACGCATTTTCTGCAATGCACTCTTCACATCACTTTTCACCATCACGCACGCTAAACAATCAAATTGCTCCAAACGTTGGCATTTATACTGCGCTCGCTGCTAGTCCCACATCTACATCATCACGCGCGCTAGCCAATCAGCGCTCTGCAAATTCTTTCTCCTCAATTTCAAGTTTTGCTCCGCCCACCGAGCAGTGTATAAAAAAGGAGCAGCCGCAAACCAGCAGCATCAGTCGATCATCAGTCTGACTTCAGTCTACAATCAAGCCACACTCAAGCAACATCAGCCAGCAGGCTTCGTCGCCAGCGCTCGGTCTTCGGAGGCATCGGCAGGCTGCATCAGGCACAACCGCCTCGGCCCTCCGGCTCTCACACCCGACGCACTGGGGCATCTCGCCTGGACTTGCCGGTGGTCGTGACCCTGCCCGACCCACTGGAAATCTGGCGTAGCCACTGCCTCATCACTCCTGCGACCGCGCTGCGCGACCAGGCAACTTCAACTCACCTGCAGCACGGCGATCAAGCAACCTCCAGCAACGGCCCCGCTGTGGCCAGTCAAACCACCGCAACTAACCTCTCTCCCTACCAGCGCACGCCGCGCTACCTCACCGACCAAACATCTCAGCAACCACGGTCCTTTGCAGGACCAACAAACCGTTCCGAAGAAGTGGGTTGTCATCGGAGTAATGATGAACAACAAACTACATAAGACCCCACACATTCAACAGAATCACTCACTGTGTCCCAAAGCGAAGGCATGCTGTGCATCACAGCAAGACCTGTATCTAGACATTTACACTGCATTTTCAGACAACAGAATATACCAGAAAACATGTTCCAACATTTCCTTACACTTTAACATTTGGTTTTGTAAGCAGTATTCCAACTGAAGGATAAATGTCCACAGCATAGTAATGATTCTACACGTAAAAATTATGTATATACAAAATCTACATAAACCAATTTTCAAACAGCCCTAGGCTAGGTAAATCCAGTTCATGCATTTACACTGAAGAGTTCTATCTTCTGTGATATACCGCTATGTAGTATGCTGAAGGTCAACCACTGTTTCAGAGGAACACGTCACCTCCATCTTTAGGGTTCAAAATAAGGTAAGCATGCTTGTTTCTTGCTTGGCTTAATGTATGACCATGAAAATGGAGGTGACTGTTCAACCAAAATTCCAGGTGACTTTCATCAGACTACATGGAGTTAAATCCCAGAAGTTAGAACTCTTCATAACCACAAATGCGAGAACCTCTTATCCTACATTTCTTTACAATGTTTCTTTAATATACAGATAAAACGCATCTATCCATGCACTGGTCTTTCAAGTGTAAGATTTTTCAGTCAGAACTTAAGGGAATTTCTTTCATATCCTGTCCATCTCATCCATTTTCATTTAACCAAGTGATGAGTAGTGAGAGATGAATTTTCACATACATTAAAATAAGTCATAACAGTCATAATTACATCATGGTTTCATAAATTTCAATATTTAGATTTTTCAAGGGGAGATGGAAGATGAAATACCCTGATTTATGACCATGTTTTCCAATCTGATCTCACTTTCATTATGTAACACATAAAAAACTTGAAATGTGCCACACTTTCAAATGATTCCTTAGCAAATCTTATACTACGATTTTCTTCCATGATATCACAACAAGACATGAACATGGTGTACTTTGTTTTATCTACAGTTATATCTACACTGAGCTCCAAAATACTTAACACATGATCTTAGCAACTGCACTTACATCTTAAAATATTATTAAATTTCACTCATCAGAGCAAAAAAAAAAATCTTTTCTGTCCTTCATAAAGCTCCTTATTCTACTCTTAGACACTGCCGTGGTCATTCGACTGCAAAGACCTCTGGAGCACAAGAGTGGATACAATTTGAAAATCCCCCCCCCCCTAACTGGACTGGACAACTGGATACGGTTAATTTTCCCAAGTGGTGTCCAAACAGAAAATGAGTTCTAAATATGCACACCAGCTGAGGTTAAAAGCACAACGGACTCAAACAGCAGACTGTAGTATTAGAAACCAGCCAATCAATTACATTAAAATGATTAAATCAAGGATGATGAGGAGGGCAGGTTTGGTGATGTGAAATATATACACTTCACACAGAAAATGTGAAGGGAAGAGATCCTTGGAATATACTGAATCAGATTGGAAAATAATATTAAAATTGATGGTTTGACTGGATTCAACTAAGGACTGAGGATACAGTCAAATGACAGGCTCTCATGAACAGCAATGAACTTTAAGGCTCCATAAAAGGCAGGGAATTTCTTGATTAGCTGAGCACCTATCAGCTTCTTGAGAACTCTGTTCCCTGTAACTAACTAGTCAGGTAGTTCAGATAAAACATGCACACTGCTGTACAACAGAAATCAACTGGGTGTCATTACCAACAGAGAGAATCAAAATATCTTAAACATAATGAAGTCATGAAACATTCAGAAGGCAAAAACTTACAAAGGTAGCATACTTAAAACAATTCTTTTGATTTTGGAGAAATCCCATTCATAAATGACCCATTTCATTATAGTGATTATAGCAATAGTAATAATAAGCACACTAACAGCATCAGTACTAGTAATAATAAAAATAATAATTCAACTCATTTAACAAAGTGCTTCATAATAACTGAAATGCAAACTACAGGCAAGCACTTGGGGGGAGTGAACAGATATCTAAGAGAAACAGAGACATAAAACTTAAAAAAATGACATAATTACCACTGGATGTCTAACAAAAAGAACCCTTTATTACTATTATTATTAAATGTGTTATTAACAACAAGAGTTGACAAAATTAACTTTCTGTTATAAATAATGATACGTCTGCAGAAACATGTCTGGCTGATTGATTAAATAATAATGATGATGTGATGAGGATAAAAATATGGTTAACAAATTTGCTCAAAGCATTTCTAGGCAATGGCTCAGTAAACATATTCCAACAAGCAACAATGGATGCTGTGTCTCAGTGGATGAAGGTTATAGCTCATTGCTAATCAAGTGTTAGTGCGCAAAATGAACTCGCTTAGTATGAATCTCGTGACTCATGTTTTCTGTGTGGTTCATGCGAAGCCTGTATAACAAGGAGCTGTTGTAGCTTAGATTAGTGCAGAGTTCAGTGTAGTTAGCAGCTGTAAAGAGAAGACTTGATATTTGGAGTGTTTGATTAAGTGAGACTTTTATGGTTCCTGTCTTAATTGCATTACCAGGGGAGGAGTGGTGTGTGTGTGTGTGTTTGTGTGTGTGTGTGTGTGTGTGTGTGTGTGTGTGTAACAGTGATGTATCAAGTGTAGTAATAGCGACAGTGTTATAATTACGTGTAATTACTGGTGGTGCATATAAGGAGTAAACAAAATCGTTCATCCAATCTACAACCTGCATTAATAGTCACTAATACAAGCTAAATTTTTAATAATAATAATAATAATAATAATAAAACCCTCATCAAACCACAATATTATTTCACTGTTTTCAACCCTACCCTTCCTTCCTTTCTTTACTTCATCTGTGCACACATCTTGCTCAAACTGCAACATTATTATTTCACTGCATTCAAACCCTGTTGTTTCCTGTCTTCCTTTACTTCATTTGGGCACTCATACTTACATAAAACTGAGAACATATCTCCACCAAGCCTTGTAGCTAGCCACCGATTCTTGATTACAGCTATTTTGAGACATTCACATGTGAATAGTGCTTCCAGATTTGTGTGAAGTGCACGGCCCATCCCTTCCAGAACGATTAGATCCACACCCTGGGATGACATTGCATTTGCCAAATCCAGATTCAATCGACTGAAATCACAATAATTTAGTAAACACAAAAAATTCTCCAGTTTGCTTTCAACTCAAGCTCTTCAACATGATGGTATATGAAAATAACAGAAAAGCAGACGACAGTGACGGTGACGGTGACGGCGGCAATGGCGGTGGTGGTAGTGATAACATTCCTGATGATGACAATGACAATGCTTCAACGCATCCAAAGAAGCATGTCACCTTTTTTTGGACCTTTGCTTATCTTTTTCTTAAACTTTTCCAGGCAAACACTTTCAAGAATTTCTGCAGCCAGGGAAAATTATTCAATGAATACAGATCTATGGTATTGCTTTATTAAGAACTAATGAAATATTATCATTTACTGTGGACTCCCTTCTGTTATTCAGGGGACCAACAGGTCTTGAAATTATGAAAGTATGGACCTTCCAAAACACAGTCCAGAGCAAACTACAGCTTGGGTAGAAGATTCCTTATAATAATGGCATGTCCATGGCATCATTCTATGCACATAATCTGGCCATCATCAGGTGTATCTTTTGTGTTTGTGTCCAATTATAGTGAAATACATCGAACTGTGCATGCTTCTTATTCAGTATTAAGGTAAAGGTGAAGCTATCCCTGTAACAGGCTGTGAAGGCCCATAGGATCATGAGGCTCCCACGTTTTCTAGACAATCGGCTCACAGATGGCGGTAAGGTTGTCAGCCTTATANTATATGCCAGTTACCCCCCCCCCCCCCACTGGATAATTCCTGGTACTCATTTCTGTTAGAGGCTGAGTAGACCCAGAGCCATAGTGCAGCAGGAAGGATTTGGTAGATTGAAAAAAGAATGACCTCATCAGGATTTGAACCCATTACCTTTTGGCTTGTAGAATAGTGTCTCAACCAACTATGCTACCATGTGCCCCCAATCAGTATTAAGAGTTATGCATATTTACAGCAGAACAATGCAAGAGAATACACCACAGAAAGTTCAACAGACTGTTTTTAATTAATAAACTTAAACCATAGAATGAAGCTCCATGTACAGTATGTGGAGCAGTGTTCTGAGATCAACATTCTAAAAGTAACATACACAGATGTCAAACAGACCAAGGAATAATGGACAAATCCTCTGTTTCTCCATACAGTCATCACAGTGACTTAGATATCTAACCCAGTGGCATGCCACCCATTTGATTCCCATGGAGAATGAATTGGGCTCACTGTTTGCATCTACTAGTATACCTCAGCTTCCTTTTGATGCTGTAGTGTTTTCCAGTAGCAGTATGCATTCACTGCTACTTGTGGCCCAGAAACTGAAGGAGAATGAGCATGCATCAACATCATTGCAGACTATTAACTATTCAGCCTGAACATCATGCCTAGTAATTTCTACTTCTGTGAATCACTGAAGAATCACTTCAAAGAAAAACGTTTCTGACATGATGAGATGAAAACTAGTGCACTGGAGGATGCAAACACCGAGCACTTATTTCTTCTCCATGACAACAAAACATGGTATATAGTTGGGATAAATGTCTCAGCTATCATGTTTATGTGAAGAAATGAAGGAAATGTCCATTATTCCTTACATTTTGAATGTATGTGATGAAATAATAAAAAACAAGTGTAACACACTCTTGGAAGTCATTTACTGAGTAACCAATAGTATATTCACCTAAACAACCTACAGCTGATGTAGCATACCTGAGATCAAGACAAGGTCCTGCTTGTGCTGTTTCCATTGGAATCAGTGTTCCTGCATTCAGAGCACTGCGGATCACCCCACAAACTGCTGCAGCTTGCTTCAACAGCATGACCAGTTCAGAATGGGTCACATCATTCAAGGCAGGTGCTGAGTTTGCACAAAGAATCACCTAGAAACAGTGTATTTTCATGCCTTATATTATTAAATTAATCTTGTGACCTCAATTACTGGTACTGATACTAAGAGGTTCAAGTAATCATAATTCTTAAAATGATTCATGAGCTTGTAAAAATCTGATTTTACACAATCAAACCTCATTGTTGGGTATTTAGTGCCCAGCCTTACCCCTTGTGCTGATTTATTTTTGCAGCGTTCCTTAAACAAGGAAATTATGATAAATTAAGAAGAAATATGTTTACAATATTATATTTAAGCATCCTGTTGCACTCTATACGATAAATGATATGAACTCCGTCCCAAGTGTAAACAATATATTATATGTCCTTGATCTTTCTCTCCTTTACACCACATGTTTCGGCCTCAAATGTCCATCATCAGGTGTATACACTCACGTAGCTGTTACACTGAACTTAGTGTTTTTAAATGTTAAATTTTAAACTAAGTGCAGTGTAACAGCAACGTGAGTGTATACACCTGATGATGGCCGTTTGAGGCCGAAACATGTAGTGTAAAGGAGAGCAAGATCAAGGACATATAATATATTGTTTGCACTTG